GAGGGGGGCGGGGCCTGTTTGATGGGTCGGGGGGCGAGCTGAGGGTCCCCGGGGGAGGGGCTGTGAAATGGGGGCGMCCCCCCCTCGGATCCCTGGGTTCCCTGAGGGGTGTTTGGGGGTCCTGGACACTGAGGGGACTCCCAGCGGGTCGGGGTCACATACGGGATGTTAAAGAACCAGTCTTGGGGGGCAGGGTGCCCCCCCCCATTTGTCTGCACCCCCTGGGGGAGCACTGAAGGTTAAACGGCGTATCCCAGGATCCCTGAGTCTCCCGGGAGATTTTTGGAGGGTCCTGGACATTGGGGGGACCCAGCGGGTGAAAGTCTTGAAGGGGTGTTAAAGGCCCCCCCCTCTGTTCTCATGGGTCCCCAGTGTGTGGGGGAACAAAAAGGGGTCCCCCCAATATCTGATTCTCTTGGGAGGGGACTAGGGGTGGAGTGGAGTTCCTGGGGGAGGGGGGGCATTAGCACCCCCAAACATCTGGGTTTCCCAAAGGGTTTTTGAGGGGTTCTGGAGACTGGGGTGCCCCCAGGGGGTGGGGGCTTTGAAGGGGTAGGGGTATTAAAGTGTTCCCCCCGAGTTCCCTATACGACTGCACCCCTGGGAAAAGTACTGGGGTTCCCTTGGTGACCCCCCCAAAAAAGGAGCTTCAGCACAAGTGAAAGTTTGGCGCGGTTCTGATCCCCCCCGCCATGGGGAGGGGGTGGAAGGTGGGGTGGAGGATTTTAGGGGCCCCTAGGATCCCCCCAGGTGTGGGAGGGTTCTCTGACATCACGGGGGGGCCCATAAAAAGCGGGGTGCCAGGGCGGGCAGYGCGCGGGGTGCTGCCGGTGAGCGGGTTCGGGGAGCGGGGGGACACAGGGGGATACGGGGAGGGGGGCTGTGCCCTAATACCGGCCCGAGGGGAGGGGGCAGCGTGCGAGGGCCTTGGCACCGGGAGCCTGGTACCGCACACGTGGGCACAGGGGATGGTCTGGGGGTCCCTATGTGCGGGGGGGGACCCGGCAGCCGGCTCTGCTTCACCCCCCTCCAAAATCCACCCCACCCCCCGCCCTTATTTCCTGCCGTTTCGGGCTCAGTTTCACGTCTYTTCGAGCTGGGGAAGTCCCAGGGGTGGAAAAACTCCCAACCCCACCCCRAAAATGGGGAGGGGTCCCGGCTGCTACACCCAGTGTCGCTTTGGGGTAAAACCCGGCAAATTCAGGGCTGGAAAGCATCAAAAGCTGACATTTAACCAAGTGGCTTTTGGTGCCTTTCTGTGGAAAAAGGGCAAAACTCAGGGCCTGAAGGTTGAAAAAGCCCCCAAAATATGGTGGGGGGGGAGGGCTTTGTCTGTGGTTTTTCCCCTTTCTGAGCAGTTTTTAGGGATTTTGGGTACCTGAGTGATTTGGGATAATTTGGGGCAGTTTCCTGAATCTTCGGACGTGGGGGTTGAGCTGCCTTTTTCCGGCAGCGTCATTTTGGGGCATTTCAGGGAGTTTTGGTGCGGTTTGTGGCGGGATGGGACACAGAGCGGGGGACAGACTCCGGCAGTTTGTGGGACCCCCAAAGGGTTCAAGGTGCCAGTTTTGGGGGTTTCTGCCTGGCTGGTCTACAGTTGTCTCTGCCCAACAGTTTTGGGGTGTTTACTGCTTTTTTAGGCATCTCCGGTCATTTTGAGGGTTGTCTACTCAGTTATTTTGGGGCGTTTCTCCTCCTTTTGGCACATCTCAGCCTGGTTGATTTGGGGTGTTTCTGCTGGGCCATTTTCAGGCGGTTGTCTGCTTTTTAGGGTGTTTTTACCCAGCTGTTCTGAGGCATTCCTCCACATTGAGTTCCTCTTCACGGCCACTTTTTGGGTGTCTTTCCTTGGCTGTTTTGGGACATTTTGCCTCATTTTAGGGTGTTCTTGTATATTTTAGGGTGTTTTGCCTCATTTGGGAATTTATTTATCCATTTGGGGATGTCTGTGCCATTATTTTGGGTCTTTTTTCCACATTTTGGGTTTCTCTGCCTGAGCATTCGGGGCATTTCTGCTGTTGTTTTGGGATATTT